GGTTACTCTCGGAAACCACATTATTTGCAATCAATTAGTTTAGAAAGGTCTATTATATCGTTCGTGGTTACTATATGGATGAACATTTTATCGCAGCTATTTCATATTCGTGCGCGATTATTCACCAATGACTCTCAAGTATGATATAATTTAACACATTTATACATCACCTCACTTACCCCCCCTGGGACATTGGCACGAACCCCCAGGGGGACACGCGTGCCCCTGCTTGAGAACCACTGCTCTGTGCTGTAAAATGGCCCTCTGAAAATGTCGACTTGGGTGTGGGTGGGGGGGAAGAAAATGCCCATTTTGTCCCCCTGGGTTCACCTTTAATTACGGGCGCGTGCACCCACCGCTACTTGCTGGCGCCAATCTCGATAAGTCTTGAAGCGGGGTATGAAATTTGCAGCATTAATCATGAATCACTCAGCCCATCGGAGCGAGGGGAACGGCCTTTGGGAGCTTTCGTTGAAACGGGGGGGGTCGGGGTTGGGTCAGTCACTGAGGCATAAGAGGGTAAGCTGGCTTGGCCGCTAACACAGCTGTAGATTCCAAAGGCTAATTAGTATAAAACATTATTACGCTTAATTAAACCTGCTACCTTCTGATACGAGAGTGCTAATTTTTTTCGCGTGGGTGAGATTTTTGCACCGTCTCCCCAAATGAGAATTCATGGTTAATATTCTGCATGGTGATGAACATTAACCAACATAAAAAAACCTGGATCATATAATATTATTATTTTTTATCATCTATTCAAATCCGCTGACAACCACGTAGGATGTCCAGTTAATGATAGGATACACAATAGCCACGCCCATCAGTTAGTGGGGCAATGTGAGCAGTTGGAAGGGACGCTGATTATCACAAAAGTGGAAGGCATCTGCTGTGGACATCAACCATCAGTTACTGAGATGACGGCAGAGAGAACAGCCACGTTACTCACTGAAGGTTTGGAAGGACATTGGATGTTGAGTGTTGCGACTTTTGATTTGAGGATCGTTTCGCAACCGTAAGCACGTGGGTCAACGATGCCCCCCCCCCCAACCAGCGCTACTACTACCACCACCCGTCTGGCCTGGTTGGTTGCACCACCAGCAGAGTGGAGAGTCACAACGAGGCTGTTTTCAGGGCCAGGAGGACAACAGTCGCAGCCAGTGTTGCGCGTTGTAACGCCGGGTGCGTGGCACTGAAGTGACCGGGTGGCTCCGGGGTTAGAGCATGAAGCAAGCACCGATGAGAACCTGGATTAAAATGGGTTCTCGATTGCAGTGAATTGGTGTCTCGGCACAGTCCCCATTTAAGTACTGCTCAAAAGCCTTCGGATTAAATTCAGTGTTCAACTTAATTTGGCTTATCCAGCTCTGAGAATTATCAATTTGGTTTCATTGGACGCTCTTTGCAGATCCTTGTGTGGATAATTAGTTAATTGAAGGAATTTGAGAAGTATTTCTGTGACGTCAACTCATAGGGATGTTCTCCAACATGAGGCACTGCTCACTGCAGGAATTCGAAACAAACATCGTATCATCATTGCGTGATGTCGAAAGCACAAACGGAACACAAACCAATTGAAATAACGTGTACGAGAGTCAGAGCGGAGGTGCATGTGACCGTGGCATGGATTGGGTTCAGTATTTTGGACGCGGGAGCCACGTGACACGGGAACGCTCCAAGCCCAAGGCGATCTGCTCACTCGTCAGTGCCGCACGAGCCATCTTCAATTCCACGCGGCGAATGCAACGACATCATCGCTAATTAAACGTGTTTATCACCCACACGTACAAATCAGCAACAGTAGTGTGGTCTGGAAGGTCCGCCACCTTTTCGATTTAGATTTTTCTAAATATACATTGAAAGTTACTCACGAAAAGTCTAAACCTGCTGTGAACCTCATCATCACCAGCAGTACGGATTCGAGTGGGCAGCTGGCTGATATAAAACGAAGACAAACATGTGATTGTAATAAATTGCAATAATTTATAATTGCTTACGATTGTAAGAGGGAGGCTCTGAATGCACTCTTTAGAAGCTCCCTCTAGTGGATGCCCTATCGCCAGCAGTGGCGTGAGCAAGCAATTTACAGGGCTGCGCCTTTTACATTTTAGCTGTTCAGAAGGGTGGACAGAGGTGAGTCCAATGAAGTTCAGCGTTTAGCCGATTTTGGCATGAAGGAGACGGAGACGTGTAAACGCAAATTGAATGCGGCTCGACGGAGGCAGTAACGCCATTTGCTGAACAGACGGGGTGGAATAATGCGAGCGACTTCAGAAGCAGGTGGACCACGGTTTTGAGATCGGGTTGGATCCCGATCCTGACGCTTTTATATTTGGAGTTTGCTTGTCTCTCTCTCTCCCCATGGTCGCATGGATTTTTCTCCGGGTCCTCTAGTTTTTCCCTCCAAATTTATAATCATGCGTTTAGAGTATTTGGCTGCTATAGATTTACACGCGATAATCTACTTCGTCGAGCAATTATTTGTGGACAAGTCGCTTCTGAAAAAGAGCTATATCGCTCAGTGGGCCTTGCCTGGTACAATACAACAAATAGCACATATCGAGGCATCAATGAGAGTGGCAAGGAGGAGGATAAAAGATCCCGAGTAAGAGAGGCAAACAGGGCTTAAATTATCAAAACAGCAACAGCTGTTATTTCATGTTTATTAATAATCACTTTTGCAGGACGTCCATAAAGGAAGCATCATTTTTTTCCGAGAGCAATTTGTAACCGTGCGGTTGAAATCTGGGCTGCGTTATGGGAGAGATAAAGTTTTTTTTTCTAAAAAACACACAAACAAGAATATTGAGTGATCCTCAACAGCGGATAATCGCAGCAGCGCTCGAACCAAACGTGAGAAGGCAACTACCGAGTGAAACCTCGAGAGATGAAAGTGTGTCGCCAATTTGCTAAGGTTCAGAGAAATTAATCTCATACGATACAATCTTTACAACACCGCCAGACTCTTTGTTTGTATGTGTAGAATTGTATTGACCTTGCTAAAACTGCTTATTACAAATCATTAATAATTGACGATGCCTTTATGGGTTACAGATATATGTTATTGCCTGCCTGGAAATGGGTGCTGGCGGTTGGCTGATTAAAGATGTCACTGCCCGCTCTTAAGAGAGCAGACCGACTTTTTTCTGGTGTCACGGTCAAATTAACAGTCGGCCAGTGAGCAATTTATATTGGCAATTTATATCAGCTCCTATATCAGCCTCAATCCCCACCACCACAATTATCTAAAAAGGTAATTTTTGGCGCTACTGGCCCTTTTGACAACTGGGACCGGCACATGATGTGTGCAATATAGATGTGAGACAACCGCTCCTTGAGATTCAGATGTGTTTTGCCTACACCCTGCCCAATATTGAGTGGGGCATTTGAAAAATGCGAAAATATGATGCACATCCACTGCTGGATGAGGGCCTCTCCACACCGTACGGGCAGTGGCGTTTGCTTGATCACACTTCACCGCGCTGAGCAGTGCGTCTTGGTGACGACGCAGCTCAAAGTAGACGCCGGAGCATATGAAAGTACCATAGCGTCTTTTTCCGCGCTACTCTCTGCAAACGACAAAGGACCACAGCAGCCTACAACACCTGTTTTATGCATGGCTCTCACCCATCCAAGTGCTACAAAGACTCAAATTATCTCCCTGCTCAGCGTGAGAGGCGCCAATTAGCGTGGTGTTAACATCACATTTTAATCCGCATACCCAGATAGATAATGCGGATATAATCACGAGTAGTCAACTTGGACCGAGTTTAATTACATGCGCCGTACACGTGAGCACGGTGCCTCTGGCAAGGAAAGGAGGAGGACGCTTGGCGATGGCACGGATCTCATTGACTCTCGGACTTTTGACCGCCACGCGTAAACATTGGCTGGCGTGGGGCTCACGGGGCTTCGTGTGACGGTCAACAGAGCGCAGTGCAGCCGAAAGCCTTCTACGACTCGCACCGGCCAGCTTCGTGGAGTGCGCTCTCAACTAACACCCCCCGCGGCCCGCACGGCGTGGGGAGGCACTCATCCAGCAGTGGATTGACACTCATCCAGCAGTGGACTGACACTCATCCAGCAGTGGACTGACACTCATCCAGCAGTGGAGTGACAGCTGTTACGTGTGCGCGGCAATGGCACGCATCTTAGCCTGGCTCGGTCACTCGGCTGCCTGAGCATGGGGCGCGATTGCGTTCAAACTCAGGAGGCGCCACCCGGCGCTGCGCAAAGTGCCCATGGCCTCCCGGGTTTCTCATTTGCACTGTAGGATAGGCAAGGGGATTAGTCACACAGACAAACCTGTCATCACCGACCTTCCCAGGTGCTCTATGATCTGATCTCAAACAGTTCTCAACCTGCCAGCTCTCGACCTGTCAGTCTCGCTAATATGCTGGTGAGATAAACCAATTTAGTTTTATTTGTAAAACACATTTAAAATTGATTTGTTTACCCTTCGTATACTTTGCACGCCTATTGTGTTTGGGTATTGTTTCTTGTTGTAACGTTGGTTGTCACCTGGTGGACATCTGTGAAACGGAGCTTTATAGCTCATCGGATTCCTCAAGTATAACTACATATTATGATGCTGATACTCAATGTACACTCGAGTATGTCAGATGCTGTGCTTGCTGACCAGTCGTTGATCCAGTAGTGGATTGTCAAAAGGGCCGTGTATGTATAAACAAATATCCCCCCAATAGCCTTAACAGACTGTTGGAGGAAAGTTCTGTTCGCGAGCACCTATTAAGGCCGGCACAGCCCACAAAGGGGTGGGTGGCCAACACCACGCCCGGCCGCCTTTGTCTCCCGATAGTGGCAATGTTTACACATCGCACCAGGCATTCATTTGAGGCTGAGTCGACCTAGGCGAGGCCCACGACCGGTTCAGATATCCGTCACTGGTGTTGCACAACAACCCTATTCACGGAAGTAAGCGGAGGACTCGGAGCAGTAAATTTAAGTCTCGTGAGCAACTTCGATGCCAGTGCAGAGCGTACGATGACTTAAATTCAGTGCAAATTATGTTTATTAGAAACACCAATTGTTACATCACTCTCAACACTTAAGAAAATTGGCATACTCGTAATAAACTTTACATGACAACAATTACCATAGATAATCTTTTTTTGTCATACAGAGTAATATGCTACGCCTTTCCAAAACACTGGCCCATAATCAAGAATAAATAACTAGTTTCTTTTTTTGTCGTCGATACAATACATGATGAATAAACCATCACCAAACACGAGTCGGCAATCAAGAGGCTAAGTATGTCAGTAAAACGTGATGCAAATACAAGATGCATTTAATGCGACATTAAACACAATTTAAGTGCCTTTTATCATCATCATCATCACTGTTTACTCTTCACAATGTCGTCACCATCAACACCATCACCATCCGTCATCACTTCTCACGCCATCGTCACTGTCATTGTCTTCATTTAATATACATCCTGAATTATAGCACGACAGTCCGAAGTAGCTGAGAGAAATACCATGACCGATCATAACGTGATTGTTCCAGTGCATAAAGGGTTAGGGTAAATCAAGCTGTAAACCACAATTCTTCTTACCGATTGGTTCAGCGTAAAGCCATTGTCAGCATAAAATCCATTGTCCTTAGCAACGGGGCAATGCGAGTACAGCTGGGAGGTCCCTTAAAATATTTGTTCCAGTAATTGAATAAACACTGCTAAAATATATATACTATACTTTATTACACTTCCAACTGTAACATTCCAAAGGTCAAAACTTCGATCGAAAATATTTAAAAGTTTTAACTATAACACGAAAATACTGAAAACGTATTAAAACAGAAACTAAATTAAAACATTCCGCTCACTGGAATTTGGTTTGTCCATTTTGAGCAGCATATACTCTTTATATATACTATAATTTTTTTAAACTTTGCGCGTCCATCATTTATTTGGGTTCGGCAACTTATTTATATTCGGGTTCATTATTTACAGAACCCTAACACATTCTATAAACCGATCTCTTGGCTTGGACCTGAATGGGGGAATCCTGAATCAAATGTACAATGTTAAATAAACTTGAATTACAAATCATAGTCGGCGAGCGGGTGTGTGGATGAAGTGGTTTTGGGTCGTAGTGGCGGAGCGAGAGTGGAAGATTCCGGAAGCAGGCGTCGGACCCACAACAGGAGAGGCCCTCCCCGTGGCTACGCTACTCACAGCCGTGTGCGTCTCTTACAAACACGTTTGTTCATTTCAGTTTTTTTGCGTTATCGAGAATCATATTCAAGATCGTTTACAAGTCATCAGCTTTGCCCCACATTTCGGATTGCCTCACAATTAAAGTCCAACCCTGTGCATGCGTGCGTGTCTCCGTGTCTGTTCAAATGAACCAGGAGGTGACCGATGAACCCTGCCCACCGAGCACGTTGGAACGCGCCGCGTGGTTTGAAGATTCGCTCGCGAGGCTGTCGTTTCGATCGTTAACTAAAACTGAACTGGATTGCAATCATCGACACCACGATTTTGGCAAATTGATCATAGATTTAGCGAAAACTACGATTGAACACAATTATAATCGATGAATAACCCTGCTTATACAAAAGCCACACGGACGAGATGAGGTTTTTCTTTTTCTTAACGTCTGCAGAAAGATTTCAGCGCTCAGCAAGCGCAGGTGCGGAACGCATCCTTCCCTTTCAATGAAAAAGTCTCTTCGTGACGAGTGCTGGGCTCATTGGCGAATTAAGCCCGGTGAATAGGCATTCTGCACGTGTGCAAATGCACGCTGGAGGAATTATACCTTGCCATTTGTAAATTGACGAACATTTTGGTGTTGATGGGTGCGAATCCAATGCTGGCCGGGGGCCACGTTAGCCGCGGGCAGATCTCCGTCTTGGCGGACCGAAATGGGGCAAGAAAAAACACCTCGAGCGATGCTGCAGCCTCTAGCGGCCCTCCGCCAACTCGTGAGATGTCTCGCCAAACATCTTTAAGAAGTGTGAATTAAAATTAGCGACTGTTTTATGGTAAATAGGGAAGTTTTTTTCAACGTTGTGTGGCCTGCACGAGATTTTCAGCAATTGTTGTGGAGCGATGCTGCAATTGCAGGGTTTATAATTATTATCATTGCCATTATTTGCGCATGGTTAACACAACACAATAGGAATTCCCTTACACAGACCAAAAAAGATCGAGGTTTCCATACCCAGGGCTTAATTTCTCACTGAATACTGTCCGGGTCGCAGGTAGACTGGAGTTGGAGGCACGTGACTAGCAGCCACAGCCATAGTAAGGGGGGTATACTGCATGCGGTGTGCTGGGTACGGAAAACATTTCCGGATCAATGACCCAGACAGACCCAGCTAAAAGTAAGCCCTGTCCCACACCTCCAATTACCACTTTGATTGAAGAAAAGATGTTTGCGGGAAAATGTTCCGTAAGCGCGTGGCCCCTAGGAATTCCAAGGCTGTGAGAAGCAGCACACATAGGGAGGTTTTTTTAAGTGCTGGTGGTGGTGGCAATGGATGGTGCTGTTAGTGATGTTTCTGGTGGCGCTGGTGCTGCTGCAGCTGCAATTGTGGGTGGCAGCGATGGGTAGGGGAACAACGGAGGAGGGGACGACTTTGATGAAGCAACGGGGCCCGCTCTTCTCGGCTCCACACGAGCCCCTCCCCACTCGTCGCGATCGGTGTACGTCTGCCACTGCCGCAGTAACAGCGCCGACGGCGCGCTCATACGTCCGAGCTGACGGACGTGGGGCGCGTACGGTGCTGCTGCTGCTGCTGCTGGTGGTGCGGGTGCATCCTCTGGAACTGCTGCTGCTGGTGAGGACGCCGGCGGTCGGCGAAGTGCCTCTGGATGTTCATGGTGACCTCCCGGTGGAGGTCAGGGGCGTCTCCAGCGCCGCCGCCTGTCACCCACGGGTGATGCAGTGCCTGGCGTGCCGTGAAGCGCCGCTTGGTGTCGACCACCAGCATCCGGCTCACCAGGTCCTTGGCAGCTAAGAGCCAAGATGAGGAGAAAGGAGGAGGAGGAGGAGGAGGAGACAGGAGGACCGACGAGAAGGAGGAAGTGCAGGAGGAGGAAGGGGGGAAAAGGGGGATGAAGGGGAGTAGCAGGAATGTGGAGGAGACAGGGCTTGAGGAGGAGGGAGGAAAGGATAGGGAGGAGGGAGGATGCAGGGTTGGAGGAAGACGAGCACAAGGATTGGAGAGGAGGAGGAATTGAAATAGGGGGAAGGATTAAAGAATTGACAGTATACATACAATCTTCTTGTCAATCCACTGCTGGATGAAGGCTGCTACCACACATCTGACTGCACAATTACATTAAAAAGGTGATTTGTGTCGATACTGGGCCATGAGATGTAGAAGTGGTATGATGACTCGAAAGTAAAATGCTGCTTTAAAAATCAAATGTGTTTTTCTTGACACGCTGCCCACTATCATGTGGGCCATTTCGAAAAATGCAAACTGGTCTGTACATGTACCGCTCTTCCGTCGAAATGCTGTGCGGGTCGCGGGGGTTGTGTGACCATACTTCACCACGCTGGTCAGTGCGTGTTGGTGAAGGCACCAGAATTTGACGTTGACGCATCGTAGACTACAACAATGGATTTTGGTGCAGTCCTCTGTTGTGGCAAAATGGCCTTAACTCGTCCCGAAAAAGATACAATTGCAGTAAAACACCATGAAATATTAATAATAACAATGTGAGTGGGAGAGTGATATTCTACACATGGCGAAGAAGCGATCAAGTTATTTTCCTCTTCGGATCTCACAACTGAAGTGTGGAAACGTTCCTGGGGAAGGGGGCTTCGTGGCACGTGACTCGCAGGAGGTGGAGTGATTCACGACCTTCCCGGCGAGCATTACATTTAAAAAAAATATATCTATTTCGGGTTTCACGAATTGCCGCGATTTAAATTGCGAAGATTTCGATGCAAGAATCGAATTGCGTTCCTGTTGTTGTTTTCGTTTCATGAAGAGGCGAATGGCCGAGGCCGTCTCCGGCGGTTGCTGCAGAGGTGGCGCGGAGCCATCACGCACGGCATAACGATTCCATTCATAATAAAGGTTTTTTGGGTTAGATCGCGTTATTTATAAATGTGTCGTAACCCTCCACCACCCGACACGGCCAATCAGCAAAATAAAGTGTCACGTTGACAAAAGACAAATAATTCACTACTTCAGCCCACCGGTGTGTTGAAGAGTTAATCCACATTTACAGTTTGAGTACGACGTTTCGCTGGTAAATACATCCAGCATCATCGGGCAATTCGCCAGAATGGTAAAGCCCTCGCTTGCTCCCGGTTTTTATATAGAGCAGCAGCAGGGTGACGTCATCATTTAACTCATTTCAGGTGCAGTGATTTGAGGCGGAGGGGGGGGTATTGTAATTATATAATCGATTGGTAATCAGTCAATGGTTATGATTAGTAATGAGTTGTAGATTAGTAATTAGTTGTAATGTGTGTTATTGTGATTATATGCTACATTAGTAATCCGTTAATTAATGTGTTTCCCCTATAAGGAATTGTAATATGTATTATTTAATAATACGCTTCCAAGCCGCACTAAGCCTGTAGCTATCAGAACGATTAAAGTTATTTCTTTTTCTCTCAATTTCAATGGATTCTCTAATTAGTCTTTGCCAGTAATGATTAATTTTACACAACACTTCAACGTTATCAAAATCAATTGAGTGTCCTTGTGACAAGCATGTTCTGCCATTGCCGACAGTTGTGTTTGAGATTATTTAATATTTCTTTGGTGTTCTTTTAGTCTTATGCTGATGTTACGTCCCGTCTGTCGAATATAGCATCTGCCACATAAAGAATTAATCCGATATACACCTTCTGTTGATAATTTAGGGAATTCGTCTTTCGTGCAAGATACTAGTTTTTGAATTTTGTGTACTGTACCAAATCTTACTGTAATGTTTTGCTTTTGCAAAACACGGGCTAATTTGTCAGTTACTCCTGAGATATATGGAATTTTAACTGTTTTAAGAATCTGATCGCTTTCAGCAGTGTTGCTTTGCGATCGTGATTTGGCATTCAGTGCTCTGTTAATTTGAGTATTATTGTAGCCATTCTGTCGAAATGCTTCTTTAACGTGTTTGATCTCTCTCACTAGACTTTCACCATCTGACACTGTTTTAGCCTGATGTATGAGCGTCTTGATAAGAGAGGATTTCTGAGCTGGATGATGATGCGAATCTGCATTCAGATAGGCATCAGTGTGCGTTTGCTTTCTGTAAACGCTGTGTGTTATTTTACCATTTATGCCATGTCCAAGCAAAATATCTAGTAACGGGAGTGTGTTATTCATCTCCATTTCCATGGTGAACTGGATGGCCGGGTTTTGTGTATTGAGATGATTTAGAAAATCATTAAGTGTATCTTTACCATGTGGCCAGACAACCAAAGTGTCATCCACATATCTAAACCAAAAAGATGGTTTTAATGTGCTCGAGGCAAGTGCTCTTATTTCAAAGTTTTCCATGTACAGATTTGCTATAGCAGGAGATAAAGGAGAGCCCATTGCTGCTCCTTCCTTTTGTTTAAAGAAATCCCCTCTCCAAAAGAAGTGTTATTTAAACAATGGTCAGCAACTTTCGGAATATATTTTGGTAAACCTGTATTCTTTACTAGTGTCTCAAGTAATTTAAGCGATTCGTTCACTGGAACCTTAGTGAATAGAGAAATCACATCAAAACTTACCAGAATATCATTAGGATTAAGTTTAATATCTTTAATCACATTTACAAGATGTTCTGAATTTCTTATGAATGAAGATGTCCTACCGATGTAGGGCTGTATTTGTTTAGTTACATATTTTGCTAATTTATAAGTGGCAGAGCCAATTGTGCTGACTATGGGTCGTAATGGGATGCCGATCTTATGAATTTTTGGTAGCCCATACACTCTAGGTGGTTTTGAGGCCCTTGGCTTAATTTTGTGTTGCTCATTCTTAGGGATTAATGAATTTGCAATTATTGCAGTAGTCTTACGTTATAAAGTATTAGTTGGATCTCGTTTAATTTTAATGTAGGTACTTTCCTCTAGTAAATTTCTAATTTTATTATCATAATCAGCTCGTGACATCACTGCAGTAGTGCAGCCTTTATCAACTGCTAGGATTTGGTTATCCTTATTTACACGGAGCTCTCTTAAGGCTTTTGCTTCGTTAGAGCTAATATTTACTTTTGGAACCTTGCTATTCTCAATTATTTTGGCAACCTCGTGTCTAGTCATCTCTGCCTCATTATGTGGAAGGAGTCTTACTGCTGATTCTACCTCAGCAATTATCTCATCCACTGGAATTGTGCGTGGGGTAATGGCAAAGTTAAGGCCTTTAGATAGGACAGAGATCATGTCACTAGTTAAAACAGTGTTAGTCAAGTTCATTACGGTTTTGTTTTTAAATTGTTCGTTATTAGTAGGGATTTGAATAATATTATGAATAATATTGGTCGCGAAAGCCTACGTGTTATAATGATTCTAGCTTACGCGTGCGATTCGATGCACGTACCCTGCGAGTTTAAGAATCGACAGTAATTGATGACCATCGTTTACCTTGTTGCACCCCCGAGCAGGTACCGGTGGTGTAATTTTTAAACAGTGTGCATTAAATCTTGACTTAAATCTTTCGTGACTGCAGTAATTAATATTCTTTGGGTCTTTTGGTAAAGTCACGTAAATAGGTTCAAATGAAGCGATCGTCCTCCTGATGATGATCGCTTGTGTTGTGATTGAAACGTCGTAGTTTTTTGTTTATTTTAAATTTATTACTTTTTATAAATTTAAACCTATCCACGTGACTTTACCGAAAGACCCAAAGAATACAGTGTGCATTGAGTGCACGAAACGGAATAATGCACGTTTCACTGAGAGAGTGAACGACGCGATGAGGATATTGCACAATCATTTTAATGGGTAAAGGCGCAGCTCTGAAATATTCTTGCTTGTTGCGCTGTCAGCTGAAGGGCCTCCACACAAAAGGGAAACTGTGGAGGGCCCCTCCTGATGATATTTTGGCCTACTTTTTCACGCTGGCCAGGCCATTTGGAAGAGGTCAGAGTATCCCCACTTCACTCCACGAATCATGACCTGCCCATCGACGACCACTTAGGATGTTGTCCTAACCCGCGTACTTGCGATAACCGCAGTTGGCTATGCACGGTGCAAAAGAAGTTCAATATACACACACTGTAATTTATCTATTTATTCAGGAAGTCCTCATCAAGACTTGACGCTCTTATTCAGAAGGATCCTGCACTGGGATGTTTGACCAACTTCTGTTATATTATTTTTGCACGTGGGAGAAAATGTGACAAACATCCATACACACAGGGCCACTCACATGTTCACACAGATGGTTCACAAATCCACTTGCTGTGGTGCCATCTTCTGGCCACATCGCAGGCCGGCAGGATGGAGAGTCTCAAAGAACTGCCTGATCCACCAACGCTTGCCTCCAAAGTGCTGGATCACAGGCGTCGTTCGCTACCGTTCCCTGCTCAGTAAACACCACGGCACAGGGCTGGGAATCCTGCAGCCCATGGGTCCAGATGCGCTCTGCGACTTCATGTCATGCAGCCCCCATGGCCACATAAGGCCTACCACTTCTAAACATCCCGCAAACGATATTTATCCATCACTGCAAGCGTCTTAGCCGCACTAATCGGATACTTATTTAAGTCTTGGTAACAACGATGCTTCCCCAAGCTTAGTCACTTTTCGTAATTCAAGAATTTCAAAACAAATGGCCAATGCATGCGGTCCAAGTGCCAAATGCACTTTGAGAGTGCTCTTCGGTGCTCAGCAAGGAATATGTTTTCCCACACCATGCCCGTAAAAAAATACTCCGCGTTAGCATCACACCTTGACGATGTAAGACAAGATGCTTGTGGGCATCTGCAATTACTTTGTCTCTGCGAGCATCGATCGGCGATGCTGGCGATGCCATCGTGTTAAGGCCCAGGGCATAAACAGCTGACCAAGCTACCGGAGTGAGTTACGATGTCACATTCCGACACGCATTCCGCATTGTCCACATCGGTAATCCTACATTCTATCGGAGTCTGACATCGCTCTGTGATCCACCAGCCCGTCTTCAAAGCGCCGGATATCACAGTTGTGTGCCGCCATGCCCACCTCATTACAGGCACCATCGCACAGGGGCGAGGAACCTCGAAGGCTACGGCCCTGAGGCGCAGAGCTCTGTCATACGGCGCATTTAATTAAACTCCCTCAATCTCACGTGAAATATGTGCAAGAGATGCGTGCGTGTGTTCCGGGAAAGGAACGATCTGCATTGGTATGTTACCTTGACGGCATTTGGAGTGCTAGTCTGCATGGGCATGGTTTTGGAAGAAATATACAACATATATCAATTACATTCAATCTCCTGTTCTGTAAGCACGTGAGAGGGGAGAGAAACAGAGTATACAGCAGGCGTTTATGACAATTTAAAAAAGGGTTCGAATGTGAAACCTTCGAACAAATCGTCAGGAATGTGCCTGTTTTTTTTGACAGATTTCAAAAGCTAATCAGGAATTGATCGGGCAAGTGTTTGGATGGGCGACCATCGTTCGTAAAATAAGTGCCGTAGGCTGCTGCTACGGGGCTGCATTGTCAGCAGAGGGCAGTGCAGCAAATCCATTATTGTACTGTACTATGCTCCAATGTCTTATGCTCCCCACCTTCAAGCCGGAACAACCAGCGTAGTGAAGAACGGTCAGATAACCCCAATGTCCGGCATGGCGTTGGGAGACATGACGTTGATGACAGGGCTGTACATAATAGCTCACATTTTCCAAAAAATTCCACTCAAGCGTGGACAGGGTATGATCAAAATGCATTATATTTTAAAGGAGCAGCTCTGCGTATTCACGTCCATCCCATGACCCATTATCGCCACAAATTACCTGTTACAGAAAAATACACATCCGTGAAGACGTCCACGTAGAATGTCAGCACAAAAAAAAGCCCAAATGGTGTGACTAATCAGAGACACAGGCACGCACTCGCACGAGGCCGTCACTCACCCTCGGAGATGTGGTCCCAGTACGGAGACAAGAACGAGAACTCCCCGAGCTGGATGGTGTCGAAGAGCTCCTCCTGGTCTCGTTCCAGGCTTCGGAATGGCGGGAAGCCGCACAGCAAGATGTAGGTGATGACACCTGTCGCCCACATGTCCACCTCCAGCCCGTAGCCTGATCGCACAGTGGTGGAGACAGGGGAGGGAGGGAGGGGAGGAAGGGAGGTAGGGAGGGGAGTGAGGGTTAAGCACACAAGCCGCTCATGGATTTACCTTTTCCACTGTTCAACCTATCCATGTTATGGCTGTGCAGAGCCAGGTTGGTTGCCAACTACCTTGCCTGGTATACATGAGGTCGTGGGTTCTATGCCGACCCTGACGCCTGCATATTTGGAGTTTGCACGTTCTCTTCACGGTCGTGTGGATTTTTCTCCGGGTCCTCTGGTGTTTCCCTCCACATTTAGATATGTGCGTTTTAGAGTATTTGGCAGCTGTTACATTTCCACATGATATAACACTTAGTTGAGCTATCATTTGTGGCCAGGTCGCTTCTGAAAATAAAAAGTTTAGCTTAGTTTAGCTTTTCCACTGTAGAAGCCGAGCCTTTCTGAATAAGCTAATCGTGACACATGTCTCCACACGGTGTACCGAATTACGTCATACGCAATCAATGCATCATGAGCCCTGCACCTGGCCCTGCTTGGCCCCGAGCCAGATGCAAATTTTCCTGGGAGGCCAGCCTTTCCCGGGTTGGCTCTGGATTGGCACTTAAAAAAACCAGTGGAAGACCAGCAGTACCGTGAGGGCCCTAAGCCGGCTTGGCTCAGATGTGTCAGTGAGAAATGGGTAGTTGAGGTGTCAACAAACTCTGACTCACCTTTACAACTACAGTTGGCAGGTGCACGTGATGATAAACCAAGTAATTGTCTACAACCAGGGCTTAATTTCAACTGGGTCTGTTCAGCTCGGTAACCCAGAAAATAGATTTTTCGCACCCAGCACACCACATCCAATATAGCTCTCGCGATAGCTGTTGCTACGCATCACATGCTGCCTACTTCAGTCTACTAGCGACCAGGGGAAAAAAAATATTCCGTGAGAAATTAAGCCCTGCATATGACCAATATCCTGAATGCCCCCGATCGTAACATCATATCCTGGAATTTAAGCGAGGTTGGAGCCTGCTCATTAACAGAATGGGGGACTGCTTCAGAGAACGAGGCTTTTGTTGGCTTGGAATACGATGTGGTCTGGGAATGGCAGCACTGAAATGGATTCTGTGTGGAGCTCTGTGTGTTACTTCCTAGTTAACCCTTCGTACTCTGGTTTCCTCCCACAAGCAAAACACTCAAAGATGGAATTGGGCAAACATCTCAAAACAGGGCTCTGCTGAAAAAAAAAGGCTTGGGGCTTTCCTGGGTACATGGATCATTATTAATTATATATTTATCATTTTCATTGTAGGGGCAATTTGTCTCGGCTAAATTCATCATGAGACCAGTGCTTTTGATGGCACTGCACATTGCCATTGCTTCTTTTATTACACCAGATAATCCAGTTTTTGCCAAGTCCAATTCAACCTCCAAAGCAATATGCAATAATGCACCAATGTTGAGCTGTCATCAAAATGGCTGCGGTTATGAATACGACGCCACTACCATGCATTCCCATTATTCAATGAACTCACCCGCACGCGTTAGCCGAGATTGAAAACCCCAATGCAGTAGATGCCCCCCCCCCCCACCCATCCAGCCAGAAACAGTTACTAGTTAACGGAATGAATGCCGTGGAAAACGCTGGAAGGGTGGCTCATAGGTTTGCTGCGAAGGAGGCTGCGTGCATGGACTCCTGGCGAATTAATCCGTGGCTCCACAGGGGGGTCACAGCAGCTAACGACGGCATCGGCAGCCGCGCTCACCACAAACACGAGATTCACTCTCGAGTGGTGAAGTTTTCTGGGACGAGCACTTAAAACTGAACACTGTAAAATCCACGTCATGAGCAGTCAACTCTGGTGTGTGAACAATTTCGCTTTCAACACCCCTTGCTCTACCCCTGGAAGCATCACCTCCATAGGGGTGAGTGGGGAGGTTGGAGTCGGAGGCTTGAGAGTCTCACCAATTATTTTCCCTATTATGTTTATTTAATTTGTTTTTGTTATGATTATTCGGGGAGGTTTTGAAAGCAATTGTTCAGGTCATTCTGCGCCTGTGAGCATGTGACATTCTGCAGTTGTGTACAGAAGCGTGCGTGCGGTGAACTGGCATGTGTATGTGTGAGACGGCATGCATTTGTGTGTCTGCATGTCTTTGGGTGGCACAGTTGGTAGTGCACTGCGCTACGATCCCACTCACAACCAATTCTGTTCTATTTAGGAATTATATAGCACCCTTTCCAGGTCGCTTTACAACGCAAAACGACGGGGGTACACAAAGACACAAAGGGGCAAAAAGCGAGCAACAGGTGGGGTGGAGCGGCTGTCAGCGAGGGAGGTGACGGAAGGGATGGAGGGACAGGGGCTGGGAATAGAGCTGCTGATGTTGCAGGGGTAGGGAAGGATGAATACGGTGGAGTGTGATGGTGAATGAGGGTGACAGACGGGTGCAACATGGATGAGAGGCAGCGGGGTGTGGAGCACATGCGTGAAGTTGTAAGATAGATACGTAGGTGCTGTGGCTGGGCATGGATGAAGGTAGGTGAAGGGTAGTCGGGGCAGAGGTCTGGTGGCCGGATAGCTGAGCTGATTGAGGAGCACAGCGGAGGGCTGGTGGAGTGATGCGGTTAGGTGCACATAGAAAGCGAGACGTGGGAGCCGGGTCAGGAATTAGGGTTGTAGGAAGAAGAGGACCAGGGGACTGGGAGTGGGTTAGAGACGTGGGAAGGAACCGGTAGGGGTGGAGGCAGTGGAAAAGAAAAAGCAACAGAGAAGAGAAAGGAGCTGAGGGCCGAGCGAGGGTGAGAGTCCGATGTGGAGAGGGAGTTTGTTCCGGTGCAACAGGGGCAAGAAGAGAGAAGGAACGGAAGCGAGACTGGGCACAAGGAGGTGAAGGAACAGTGAGAAAAAGTGAATGTTGAGACCCGAGGGATCGTGAAGGGACGTATAAATAAATGAAAGAAGAAGGTAGGGGGTGGGCGAGACCTGCAAAGCTTTGAATACTCGGCTGAGGAATTTAAAAAGACTGGTGATAGACAGGAAGCCAGTGAGATGTGTATGGAAGTTTAATCTTGATTTGAGGCTTTCGTGACTGCAATAATTCATACTCTTTGGTTCTTTCGGTAAAGTCACGTAGATAGAAAATAAAAATAAAATAATAGATCACAACGTTTCGATCGCAGCAACAACAAGCGATCGTCATCAGGTGAAAGAAACACAGTGTCTATATAATGCCTCGTCCACAGCAGTCTGTTTCTTTCACCTGATGGCGTTCGCTTGTTGTTGCTGCGATCGAAACGTCGTGATATATTTTTATTTTATTTTTTTATTTTCTATCTACGTGACTTTACCGAAACAACCAAAGAGTATGTGTATGGAAGGTTGAGTAGAGTGGCAAATATTCGAACAGGGCCTGGGTCTCCGCTGGTGCGATGCGTTAAAACACTAGCGTTGGGGAGGCAAAGGCGGGCAGGTATGGTGATGGCCACCCACCTCCCTCGTGTGCCAGCCTTCACAGGTAACTCGCTAACTGTTAAAGGCTATGTCATTGTGCGAGTCGTCATGTGTGTATGGATGTAGTGGAGTGGGAAAATAGCGTTTAGCATGCGCTGCGCTACGAACCCGGCGACCCGAATTCACTTCCTCCTCACGGCCACCACCACCGGTGACGATTATCTGAACCGGTCATGGGCCTCCCCTAGGTCGACTCAGCCTCAAACGAGTCCCTGGTGCGGTGCGTCGTAAACATTCGCCGCTGGGGCGTGGTGCTGGCCACCCAACCCCCTTGTGTGGTGCGCCGGCCTTCATAGGTGCCCTCTAACAGCACTTGCCCCTACAGTCTGTTACAGGCTACACGGGGGATCTTTGTCTTTGCGTGCGTAGGAGCATGAGTACCTGTCTCGGCCAGGATTTCTGGCGCCACGTACGTCGGTGTCCCGCACACTGTGTAGATGGGGCCCCTCACCTCCATCGCCAACCCAAAGTCGCCCAGCTTCAGCATGGTGCTGCCGTCCAGCTTTCGCTGCATCTGCAAAGACAAAAACATTCCCCGTGTAGCCTTGACAGCACTTGGGGGCAAGTGCCGTTAGCGAGTGGCACCTATGAAGGCCAACACAAGGCACCCGAGGGGGTGGATGGCCAGCACCAAGCCCGGCCGCCTTTGTCTCCCCGGTTGCAATGTTTACACATTGAGTCGACCCAAGAGAGGCCCAGGGTCAATTCAGATATTCATCACTTGATATTGGTGGCCGTGAGCGGGAATCGAACTCGGATGGCTGGGTTCATAGTGCAGTGCGCTAACCACTGCATCTGCGCACACACACAAGCCACATTTGCAGCGAGCGTCTCTCTAAAATAAATACTCGTCCGTTTCCCAATGACATTTCAATTGTGCCATTGGCCTTCATGTCACGAGATGAAACTTCTACTGGGGGACTCTCGCAGAGAGACGCATCACTCCGCGTGAGAAAATGGCCTGCAGAGGGAGATAACACAGAACAACTTCTGAGATCCCTTCACGTGGCATCTTATCCTTCATAGGGGGCGCTAAACTTTCCCTCGTGTCCTCCGAAAAGAGAAAGTTTTTTTTTAACTCTTCACATTAGCATAACCTTCTCCACCCTACATGCGGAGGCCCACCGTTTTTTATCCCTCACATTGACATAAGCTCATCCGCCCATGCTGCTGACACTTGGGCTACGCCAAGTTTAATCCTTTATAAACAGTTTGCCTTTAGAGGCTAACCACTTTTTTTCTCCACCTGATGACGACCGCTTGTGTTGCGATCGAAACGGCGTGGTTTTTCTTTTTTTTTTAACCTATCTACGTGACTTTACCGAAAGACCCGAAGACTAGAAATATCAATCGCAATGTAGTCAATATTTTCCTAATATATATTTACAGGAAAAACCTTGCCCAACGTGGATTTGTCAAACACCGCGTTTCGGCTCTACGCGGTTTGACGCTGAAAATTATTGCCGCGAGAGTGCCGCAATCCATTGGAAGGTGTGAACGAAGCGACTGTGAGAACAATTTATCCCACCTGGTATGTGTGTGTGTCTTTTTTGCGTTGATAATGTAAACACACTCAACACGCCCAAGCACAAGAGAACGCCGCAAAAATGTTCACGCATTGCCGCATGCATCTAGCCGTCCACTCGTGGAAGCCTGACAGTCGGACGGACGTCTCTGCATGTCGAACCATTAACGTTCAAGTGACAGCGTTAGTGGCGAACGTTGGGCTGATCATTCAGTGTTAGGGAGTGAGCGTTGGGCGCGAGCGCCACGGTGTGGGAAGAGCAATGGAGACGGCGGTCTTGCGTTGAGATGAAATTGAAAACTAAATAGGGTGTACACACAAGAGATGGAGAACCACTCTCGGAATCCTCGAGTACAATGGCACGGGTGGAAATGATGTAGAATTAGTTCGATAAAAGCTGACGGTGTGAACATTTAGATCCCACTAAAGCAACCGTATTTTTCCGAGATTATTTGTCGAACGCAAGTTTTGTCCACCACGGCATTTTCCAGGAATGTAACTCCCCCCCCCCCCATCTGGCGACTTCTGTTCCTGTAATCTCAGGGATTTAGTGTAGCCAAAGTGAGTAGAAAACCCAAATGTAACATGTTTTTTTTTGCACGGTCATTGATGACTGAGCTAAGGCCATCAAACCCCCACACACTCAGAATCCACTTTAATCACAGGTGACCGGAACAGAGATTCCAAAGCAGGTTATTAACAGTGGTGGCTCAATGATCTCATCTCCAAACCAATTCATTTAAATAACAGCCAACATTATCATTGAAGGGCTTATGTGAGACCATGTGAGAGCCCACCGACATTCGCGATATATAATTTTAAAGAAGGCATTTTTTTAAATTTAGGAAGGAGCCATTTATAAATTGTGGGGGTTCTAATTCCAACACGCACTGTCTTGTGATTCATAATGATGCCTCTTTGTTATTAATCACCTCTTTACAGCTTTGGTAACCCCCTTTAGAAATTGTATGGCTATTTGGAGAATGGGGCTCTCATCATGTCCACTCAGAACGGGTCCAGTGTCTCATGCGGCGAGAACTATGTCCCGGCGGCAGCGCGCTGTTACAGAGGTTCGTTGTTCGAATCCGGCAGATCTCCCTAATTATTACTGCGAGCGTACTGACCACGCAATACGCACCATCCCCTTCACGGTGGATGTCAGGAGATCCTGTGACGTTCGAAATGAGCAGCTCATTGTGTGGCTGGTGTCACGGTCCACATTTGCCAAATTCGAAAATGTACCCGCAAATGTTCTTGATCGGGATTACACATAGCAACATCACCCCCTACTATGAATCTTCTGCAGGTCACGTCTGAGAAACAGCACCTTCGCGATAGCTGTGCACTACGAGAATGGCGTGGATATCAATAATATATTCAATTATTACCACCTATAATACATCCCTATTATTTTACCGCTTACTTTACAAACTTGGTTGTCTAGGCTGTAGAGTGTTTTTGGCCCACGGTAAAAATTTGCGACGTTATTAATGTCTTACAAATGGATAATTGACAATCTGTAACCTGAACTTAAAGATTTACCAGCATGATTAACTAATCTATTACAAATAAAGTGATGGTCTTTGAAAGGCCCGATTATGCCTTTAGTTTCACAACATGAATCTAAGTCTTTCTGAACAATCAATTTGTTCCATAAATAAAATGCATTTTCACTTTAACGCCTTAAGCACTTAATCACCACAATATATTCCATTAGACGGGTTCACGTAACCCTGATCAAATATCTGGGAGATGGTGCCGTTTCGGTAGCATTTCCAAGGTGTGCATCATTTATGTGTAGCTGATACAAAACTGCCAGTGTAGTTGGCACATGACAAAACTGCTTTACTTTTTGTTAACCACAAGTGGTAAAACCATTCTAATTAAACCCTTTGTGAGATACCTTCGCCGGCAGAGCACGCACAAGGACACGCAGCCCAACACTCGATAGCAACTGCAGTCGGGAGTGCTGTCACTTGCACAACCGTACATGTTTTGAGTGTCACCGAGCATGGATAAAAAAAAAATCGATGCTCGTCGATTACTCTCCACGTTGTTTCGTAATGCACGGAACGAGCCGATTGCGCCACCAACCAAAGCGACGGTACGAACGCGTCTCGTCGTCCTCCCGTGCTGCGTCGTTCCAAAGTTCCACTCACTGACCTCCTTCTTGTGCCACCACCTCTCTCTCGTGAGCCCTCGTCAGTTGGGGAGAGCCGTCCTTCAGAACCGCTTATTTAGTGCCACATTAGAGTAAGTTGAAATGGGCAGAAGAGGAATGTTAAAAGTGGAGGATAAGAATTTGGCAAAGGTGACTTATATGAAAAAAATATATCCATTGCGGAAAATACCAGCTGGACGTAAAACACGGCGGAGAGACTTGCTTGGGTAATGACCCAACCAGGGCCGGAAAATCCAAGTGCGGGATAACGACTCGAAGCAACCAGAGGCGCATTGAAGAGGTGGCAACTTATCGACAGCGATGGCGCGATGCGAGTGCCCCAGCTGATGTGACAATATGACAAATTTTATCTGACCTGAGAGCCGGTTCCTAGGCATGATGCCCCTTGGAGCAATGTGTACACTTGTGGCAATTTCTAGCATTTGGGAATTATTCACGTGGAATTCACGACAAGGTATTTACGAGGGAGATGAGGCTAGGTTAACAATACTCGGATTTATTAAGTTGAATAAGTGTTATTGTCATCGTCATTATCGTTATCACCGTCATTATTCTTAATCTGGCCAGGTGGCACAGTGATTATAGCGCGACGAGAAGGTTGCGAAGTTACATTTTGGTCAAGGATCGACTGGGAATGTCATCCCTCCAGGTTCGATAGGATGAGTTCTACTTTTTGGGAATCCAACAGTGAATGTACTGCATGTAGACCTGTTCCTATCATATGAATGTGGTGTTTTATGGTAAACCACCTTTGCATACTTATGCTGAATAATGTTCGAAGCAGTGCCCTTTTCTTTCCCTTTTGTCGCAACACAAATCAGGGAAACACACACACATATATAAAACATTGTTACTAATTGCTTCATTATAATCACAATTAAAGTGAGTCGGCCGCATGGATAGAGGAGTTAATTCTCTGTCAGAATATTAAGCTGGCACCACCGAGATGCTGGGTTCAAATCCAGGCAGTGAACTCTGATTAAACTGGGTTCTCAGTGTTGTCAACTGATAGGATCGGTCCATTCACTTCTGTCTGCATAAAAAAAAACCAATTAAATTATATTTTTTACTTAATTTAGCTTATTTTTACTCTGTGACTGTAAAACTTCAGTTTAGTTCACTTGTGATCAACACTCTTTCCGGTGCTAAAATGCTCGCATTATGTGCCGTACGTGTTTGCCACGTATCGCTTGACACCTTGGGAACTTTTGATTTAAAGCTTTCGTGACTGCAGTAATTCATATTCTTAGTTTTTTCGGTAAAGTCACGTTGAAGGGAAACAACAAAATAATAAAATATATAAAACAATAAAAAATTCTCACGACGTTTCGACCATAACTCAAACGGTCATCTTCAGGTGTGTTGGTTTGCATATATTAATTTTTAATATAATTGATTGTTCACGCTTACAGTGGCTTTCAGACAGCATACATTATAAAAAAATTCGTCTCCCCCCTCCTCTTTTCAGAATATAGATGGACTAGTCCTGGTAAACTGCCAAATCGCTGCGCGTGGCGCTAACGTTTTTTTTTATAAATAAATAAATGCGCCGTTTAAAAATAAATTTATGCAAACCAACACACCTGAAGATGACCGTTTGAGTTATGGTCGAAACGTCGTGAGAATTTTTTTATTGTTTTATATATATTTTATTATTTTGTTGTTTCTCTTCAACGTGACTTTACCGAAAAAACTAAGAATACCTTGGGAACTGGCAAGGGATTTTTTTTTTCCCAGGAGAAAATAATAAAAAAAAAACCTTCTATGTTAATAAATACACAACAATTCAATAAATTGCGTGTGGGTAACAGTCCCACTGAAGGGACTTTATAAGTAGTTCCGAGACAGAACCATCATCTGGCTGGCACTGCAAACTGCCAGAGTTCCGAATGGAATGTTTTTTGCCTCGTGACATCCCATGACACTTGACCGCAGACGCGACGGCACGAAAAAACTTATTCCATTAAGAAACATTACAGACGACGTGGTGTGACGCCTCCAAAGTAAAAAAATAATTGTGTTTTTTGTATAATTTACACATATTTTGCATTGCATTTCTGTTTTTATCCAGGCCACCCCTCGCCCCCATTGCCCAGGATAATAGAGAGTTGCCTGCAGGTAGAAGGGCGTGCTACAAAAATACATGATCCTGACATGGGCAGAACATGTAATGGTTAGGAAGGATGATGATGACCGGTAGTTTTGATTATAATAACAGTGTTGCGGCCAGGGGAGGGCACATGCTTGAGGGTATGTCGAGTGCAGAGATGGAGCAATTAATATCAGCTTGTGTGTGGGCACTAGGAGGGATTATGAGTGTATGTCGCAGAACCGTAAGATCGGGCAATGGCTTGGAGAGGCCCTTATCAAGCAGTAGATTATTCATGGTATGTGCTGACGATGATAATGATTACAAATTAACATTTGCTTGGTTCGATCGCGTAAGTAAAATGTGTTTTGTACAACCTACTCCATCCGACAGAGTTGTCTCGTGATGAACAAACGTGCCAATTTATTCCTGCTCCAGCACACCGGTAACACTGGAGAGCAATACAACATTTTTTTTACAATTGGGTAGTGCGACGTTTCTCCAGCAGTTACAATCGGCATCACCAGGCAGTTGCCATAATTGTGTGTATTGTTCTCCAACAACACACCGGTGGTGCCGACGCAGGAAGATATTTTCTACGTTCGTTCACGTCAGGTGGACGAAGGGTGTACACCACACATTTCACTCACGCGACGTGGCCCCAAAAAAAAACAAAATCGATTACGAATCACGATATCGGACGCGAAAACGTGCCGCCTCCTGTGAGATGATAACCACGGTGGCGATGACGACGACGAAGACGGTCATAAGCGTCGTCGTCTCACCAGCAGGTTCTCGGGCTTGACGTCGCGGTGCACCACCAGGTTGGCGTGCAGGTACTGCAGCGCGCGGCACAGGTCGGCCACCATGGCGGCGGCGTGGCGCTCGGTGAAGCGCACGCTCTCCGTGATGGCGTCGAAGAGGTCCCCGCCGCTCACACGCTCCAGCACCAAGTACGCGTGGCTGGGCGTCTCCAGCGACTCGAGCAGGCGCACCACGTTGGGGTGGTGGCCCAGGCGCGCCGTGAGCGTCACCTCGTTCTCCAGCATCTCCTCGCGCCCGGCCAGCTTGGACTTGTCGACGATCTTCATGGCGAGGTCCCACTCGCCCGGCGGCGTCGAGCGGCCCTCGCCGACGACGCCGCCGCCGACGCGCCGCCGGCACTCCTTGACCACGGCGAAGTTGCCGTCCCCGATGGTCCGGCCGATCTCGTAGCGGCTCTCGATGTCCCTGAGCGTCACGACGGGCCGCTGGTTGGCCGGCGGCTTCTTCTGCTTCCTCCTCCTCTCGCTGTCCTTGCTTTTGTGTTTCGGCCTCGCCCTGTCACGGTCGTCCGCCGAGCTCTCCTCCTGCCTCTGCTGCCTCTGTGCCCTCTTGTCGAAGTCCCCGTTGATGTACTCCTCCGTGCCGTTCTCCTTCTCCGCGAGCCGTCTCCTGTCACCCTCCAATTTGCGCTCATCCTGCGTTATTTTGAGCTCCTCCTCTTTCCTCCTCCGAGCCTCCTCTTCTTGTCGCAATCGTTCACGGTCGTCCATCACGATCCGCCTGTGCCGGTCTACGTCAGCCTCATTCAGAGTCCTCCTGCCTTGATCCTTCTCAGAATACCTCCTTTCCCTCTTCTTTTCTTCCGACTCCTGCCACCTCCTCTCCCTTTCGAGAAGCGACCTCTCTTGCTCTCTTTCCTCCTCCTCTTTCTTCCGCCTCTTCTGATCCCTCCTCTTCTCCATCTTCTTCACCTCCTCGTCAAGGTCCCAGAGCTTCTCCGGCTTCTTTTCATCCTCCACGGCGTGAAGGCCTTCGGGGGACTCCTGCCGCGTGGCCTCCTTCAGCCTCTCCAGCCGCTTCTGCTCCACCTCTTTCTGCTCCCTCTCCCAGCGCTCGCGCTCCCACCGGTGCGCTTTGTCCCTCTCCTCCTGTCTAGCCTTGGCCTTCTGCCTCTCGACGTAATCTCTCTGGGCCACGGCGCCCCGGGGGCTGGAAACCTCTGTCCTGACATCGTCGTCAAACTCCCCGTCGGGCTGGAGGCGCCCCGTGTCATGCGACCTGCGTCGTGGCCTCAGCGGTCGCTCGGGGCTCTTCTTGACAAGCGTCTGGGACTTGGGACTATCGCGCACGACCAGCCGCTGCGCGTACGGATTCTCCGGGAACAGCTCCTCCAGGATGCTCTGTACGTCTTCCGACGAGGGCGGGTCTTTCCCCGGCGTGGCCAGGAACACGTCGTCACCGCGGAAGAAGTCTGAGATAGAGCGCGCCTCGCGCCCGCGCAGCGTGAACAGGCGCCGCACGCGCTGGATCCCCAGCGCCTCCGAGATGTCCACCGCCAACTCTTCGAAGCTCTGCACCGAGCGCCGGTTCAGCAGCAGGGTGATGCGGCGGTGCGGGGGGCGGCCGCCAACCCGGACCACGGTCACGACCTTCGGCCTGGCCGCTGCCGCCGCGGCCGCGGCCGCAGCCGCCGCCACCACCGCGGCCTGGTTCTCGGACTGGCCGTGGAAACTGCGGCGCTGACTGCGGTCGGCCCTGCGAATTAGCAGTCCCTCGGAGTGACCCTTCCTGGCCCGCTCGGGCGGGCTGTACGACGGGCTGACGTTGGATGTGTCGCGGCTGCTGGGCGGCAGGGGAGACGGTGCCCGCATGCCGTTGGTTGCGCGCCGCGTGTCGCTGGTGCCATTCTCGATGGCGAGACAGGAGCTGTCGCTGTACCGCTCCTCCAGAGGGCATCTCTGTCCTACGACGCGCACGCACACGCACGAGATTGTGGAAGTACAGATCTGCACTACGCAACGTTTTCACGTGTTTCATACAGGAGGAGGAGTGGTGGTGCATTAGTGAGCACACTGCACCAGCAACCCAGAGACCTGAATTCCATTCCCGGCCATGGGTAACATCAGCGGTGAGCGATGTCTGAACCAATCCTGGGCCCCAACTGCACCGACCCACACTCACCAGCGTGGTGAAGTATGGTCAAACGATAACCTAGATGACCGACATGGAGTGGGGAGGCCTGCATATTGCAGCGGATGGACAAAAAACCATAAATTATTATTATTAATAGAGACCTCATGGCTGATATTATATTCTTTACAATATAATTACAATTTTAGGGAATCAAATTTCGGCCACATATCCAGATGAATTATATCAGTGAGAAATTAATTGTTGGAAAAGGCCAAGTGAAAAGGATGAGTAAAGTTATTCACTAATTTTGACAAAGACGAGCAGTTACTATAGGAATAAGATTGACACAAATGACGATTCTAATGGCAGGCAGTTCGTCACAAGTAGATGAGAGAAGGTAAGTCGAGAGCAAGGACTTGAATCGGAGAAATCTAAATCACCAGCGAAGAAAATGTCATGTCTTTGGCGATGCGGTTCTATAATTCGCTCGCGGTTTGCTTTAACATGGCAGATAATGAGATTTGTAAACATTGTTTGTCTCTGGAGTCATTATCTGATTGTTCTGAAATCAAAGAAAAAATCTAAGTGAAATGTTAAGAACTCTTTAGTTGGCATGTGTGCATTTGACTTTAGTCAAAGCCCACACTGGGAGCCTTGAGGAGTGGTGGGGCAGCGGTAAGCACGCTACGCTCCGAACCCGGCGACCCGGGTTCAATTCCCGCTCACGGCCAACACCAGTGACGATTGTCTGAACCGGACCTGGATCTGCCCTAGGTCGACTCAACCTCAAATGAGTACCTGGTGCGGTGTCTAGTAAACATCTCCACTTGGGAGACGTCGCCACCTGGTGGTGGCCACCCACCCCCTTGTGTGCCGTGCCGGCCTTCATAGGTGCTTGCTAACAGCACTTGCCCCTACAGTCTGTAAAGGCTATAGGGCGATCTTTGTATGAACCCTCATCCGATTGTTCTGAAATAAAATAAAATCGAAGTGAAATGTTGAGTAATTCTGTTGGCACGTGTGCACCCGACTAGAGTCAAAGCCCCCACTGAGAGCCTTGCTTGGCACAGGAAGAGCGATTAATGTTAACGAGCAACGTTTGATTAATTTTGTTTCAATTCTTTGTTAAAATAAAAGATGTCGCAGCTACAAACGTCCCCATAACAATAACTCGAGATGTACAGTATTTGCAGTTCACGTGTGTGTTTACCAATGTGCATAATTTTTCGCAATCAAATATTCCACAATGTAATAAATACGTTTTTTTTTATTTACTAATGTTGCCATGGTATTTACTGAATAATAATAATCATTATTCCGAGCCCTTTGTCAATGATTCCGTGCTGAATAAAGGCTTCCCCCGTGCTGTGGCGGTTGTAGGGGTTGTGTCGCCACGCCGGGCGGAGTGAATTGGTGAAATAGGATGGTGTTGGGAACCCACGACCAGTTCAGCTGTAACTCGCCACTGATGTCAGCCGTGGCCAGAAATCAGGAAATCAAGCTCAGGTCGCCGGGTTCACAGTGCAGTGCGCTAACGACTGTGGCACCATTCTAACAGAGCAATTTGATCTGGGCACCATGGTGACGAGATGTTAACAACCTCGCCTGGTATCCAGGAGGTCGTATATTTGGTGTTTGCATGTTCTCCCCGTGGGCGCGTGTATTTTTTGGCGTTTTCTCCTCTATATTAAGAAACATGCGTTTAGAGTATTTGGCTGCTATACATTACCACGTGATAATCCACTTCCTTGAGCTATAATTTATGGCCAGGTCGCTTCTGAAAAAGAGCCATATAGCTCATTGGGCCTTATCTGGTCTAATAAAAATGTATGAGATTAGATAATCTGGGTTAATAATACCTTCCGAGCCAGCACTTGTACGAGATGGTTTCTTAATTTCCTTATCAGCTGATGTCATCATTTGTAATACAGGTAAACCACATGTGGGTCTGTCCTGTGTTTCATTAACAAGGGTTGCCACCTCTGATATATCAAGGGAATAAAAATATCTCACAATACCAAAAGAGGGGATAACTGCGTATCACGCAACTTACAAAACCCGGGACTCTTAGTTTATCGGGAAGACTTAAACATTTCCCTGAGCAGTTAACTAAAAAAACAAGAGGACGATCCTGGGAAATCCAGGACAAGTGGGAACGCTATCAACAACAGAGCAATTTGATCCGAGTGTTAGAAAATGGGTTTATACAATCTTCAGCGGTGATGGGGCATTTGGTCTGCCCTGCACAAATCTGTTTAAGCCACAACAAGCGGCTGACTGCTCATTTCAAAGCCAGCTTGACCTGCTGGGATAAATGTGGGTTACCCACAGTTTGGCCCACCCAATCCACGATTAATAGACCTCTTGAAGTGGTTCAATTCATTGCCTGGCTGTATACATACGTCACTGTAAAATCATTACGTGCTCATTAAATCTCTCAATTGAAATTACAATTATACTGGTACAATGGGGGTGTGGAGCAGTGGCGGTAGTGGTTAAGAGCACTGACGCCAGGAACCTGGCGAGCTGAGTTCGCTTTCCGACCACGGCTAATATCAGTGGCTAGTGATATTGTAGACCAGTCCGGGCATCCCCCTCACTTCAACAATCTGCACTGACCAGCGTGGCCAAAATAACCCCCCCTCCAACTACATGACCGAGGAACGCGTCTCGAAGCGGACTGATAAAGGGCTGAATAATAAATGTATATTAAAGACACTTTAGGCAGTTCTGGCATTTATATCCGCTCAAATAAGGCGTCACAAAGCTTCATTTTGTCACGTATTTTTGTCCCCATAAAAAAAACAATGCAGTTCAAATATATATAAAATGTCATTATCCCGTGATTGCAAATTACATGTGGATGTGACGGCATCATGCTAATCAAGGAACCATCCCAAGAAGGACGGTACATCAGCGCCAACACACACACATCACCACCACCACCGCCTACACAACGCTCCCTCCCCCCCGTCTCTCTGCATTCAAGCTATTTCCCCTCTGATGATGATAATAATTGCGCGGCAAGCAGCCCTCGTCTCTGAAACCGCATTCATATTCCCCGGCGTTCCTATTTGTTTAAACACATTGCACCCCTAGTATGCGCGCGTATACTGGCTCCAGCTAGCATCGCTTTAAACAAAAAAAAAACACTGCATTCAATTTCCTATACATACGTTAACCCCCTCGCCCCCCCCCCCCCTTGCATCTGTTCAGAATCAATCCACTGCTGGATGAAGACACCCCCCCCACCCCTCCCAAGTCGTCACCATCTCTCGCTGTTCCGATCCGAAGAAATCCCGCCGAGCGAGGCATGCGAGCCCCCTCCTATCGCTCCGTCTCCCTCGGTGGAGGGCCTCCGTCTCCGACGCGTTTCGATTTGCCTGGCCGGCCACTCCGATTTGTTTGGAATAAACGATGGGAAACATCCGCGCCAATTCCACACCGAGCATTGATAATTCTCGGCACTTAAAGGCGATGATTCCCAAACGTCATCCACGTCAAACGGCATCAGAAGGCGCCCGTCAACGGCAACACGACCAGCATTGCGATCGCTAGAACCCACCAACACGGATACAGTATATAGATATACGCACAGAAATGTATACAGCATATATATTTTTTGATTCGGTTAGCCTTTGAAATGCGTTGGAGCGCGATGTGAAATATCAAATATCAGTGAATCACTTACTCTGTTTGCCCCAGATGTAGCGCTTGAAGCTGACTTCGCTGACACACGCCTGATACACTCTGTGAATCATTATTCACACCTACCGCTCTTCACGCGACAACAGCAGCCATATCAAATGCGGACCTTGGCAGCACACACAACCACACACAGCCTCGCTACATACAGCTCGAAGCTAGCCGCTATATCTTTATCACCAGCACGATCGTCATCATAATCGCCACCACCACCACCACGCTGCTCTATGCTACAGCAAGCGTAGACGAGACGCGTGCAAATATATCGCATCCAGCCGTTGCGTGAGAACATCCAGAATTCTCCAGCTCTTCCGTGCGGGTGTCGCTGTAAGTCCAGCTAATGATGGTGATGCTGCTGCTGCTGCTGCTAAAGCTGTCCTCCTCCGACATTCCGTGAGCTTCTCCCGTGTCTGTCACGTCTCACCGTCGGTCTCTCTCCCCGACTGTGTGTCTGCGTGTCTCACTGACTACGAACTGCCCGACTGTCCGTCTCGTTGACTGGCTTGCCGACCGCATGTCTGTCGAGCTGACTTGGCGACTTGACCAACCGCCTCACTGACTGGCTCACTGACTGCCCGCCCGCCTGCCTGCCTCACCGCCTGTCTTCTAACCTGTTGAGTTAAGCGTAGGTGTGTTGTAAGCTCGTGGAAGGCGCGAGTGAGCTTTGGGGTTTTTTTTTCTGCTTCCTTCTCACGCGTGGCTCTACCGCAAGCGGACGAGACCAATAACACCCCGAGCGGGTGTGGCTTCTTGCGCTCGTCGAGAGACATTTAAATTCAGCTTGATTTTTTTATTACTATTTTTATGATTTGCTGCTGCTGCTACACCGCGCCAGGAAATCATCTCGTCAGAAGACAACATCGCAGAGGACGGAGCCATTATTGTGTCTGCACACTGCTGGTGCCGCAAAAGATCGTGGTGATTGTCTTAGTAAATCGACTGCTGGATGAGTCAAAACAACCACTTGCTGGATGGGACACTCAATCCAATGCTGGATGAGTCAATTCACTGCTGGATGAGTCAAAACAACCACTTGCTGGATGGGACACTCAATCCAATGCTGGATGAGTCAATCCACTGCTGGATGAGTCAAAACAACCACTTGCTGGATGGGACACTCAATCC